CAAATGATGTCAAAAAATGAAAAACAAACAAAAAAAAAAAATGGAGGTACGTGGTTTTGTTCCGACAGCAGCGATATGTGCAGAAGCTGACAGGTTTGATGGAGAAGACAAAGATCAGTAACCAGCAAGATCTGAGCTTCACTCACTGTTGCCTTTTTATTTGTTTTAACTGCTCATTTATTATTTTTAAGGTGTTCAAGGTCTAATCAACTGTCGATAAGCTCATTTTGAACCACATTTTGAATGAGCGTGTAGTTTTTTCATTAATCTTAAAATGTTTTACAATTATTTTTTACTTTTATGTTGTTTTTAATAACAATTTTTTACAAATATATTTTATTTTACATTTAGAATTAATTTTTTACTTTTAATGCAATTTTATCTTATTTTTTTGCTCAAATAATTTAATTATTTTACGTTATCTTGTTTTCCTCAAAAAAAAGGTTTTTTTTTCTTAGTCTTTAATATGTGAAGTTACTGCAGTCTGACGAAGAAAAACGTGCTCATTTATGGTTAAAACTGGCGCACAGTGCACGTCCCCGCAGCTGTAAACGGACCGAAGGCCCACGGTAACCTTAGCGGTGCAGTAACAGATTCCTCAGGCCTCAAACAGACTCCACACACCAACAAACACTCAACCTCGACGATGTCGGTCAGTTCAGCTCCCATTCTACTCTCTTTTTTTCTCTCAAGGAAAAAAAAGGTGCTAAACGACTCCAACACTAACGCTGTACTTCAGATCATGCAGTCTTGATGCACGGATTGCAATCGTGACATTTTTTTAAGGTTTTGTTTTATGTTTGTCTGTGTTTTGTACTGTCTCAATGCTGAAAACCAATATTACCAAACATGCTTTTGAAATTAAATTGTATATTTTTAAGTGAAATGTAATTTTTTTTCTGTTGTTAAGAGCGTCCAGGCTGTCGAACCAAATCCAACACAAGATAGAAAGACTTCAAAGGTGCTGTTGACTTTGTATTCCTGTCGAATGGCCGCCAGACAGTGAGCGACGTCCATCACTGTTTACAGGACGCTGTCCCCCCACGAAATAACGCGGGAGCTGCACGTTCAGCCGTTTCTCTGAGAGAGTTTTTGTTTTCTAGATGCAAAACTGACTTGATCCCGTCACCCTGCAGTGTCTGCTCTTGTATCTCTGGTGCTAAAACGACGCTAATGCTTCCTGAACATCAAGGTTACTGCACTGTACAAACAGCCTGAGCTATATTTATGCATAACCTTTTGTCTAACATGGGAACTTTGTATACTTTTGTATCTTTTTTTAAAAATGTTTTTAATCATAATTTTATTTGCCACTACATGTAAAAGAACGAATGTGCGTGTGCGTACTGTATCTCATCATCGGCAAACTTGAAATAGCATCAACTCTAATGTGGGGGAGGAAAAAAAAAGGTCATGATTGTTTGTAGAGCCATAAGAGATCCTCGGAAAGGGGCCAGGTGTGGACCGTCCACCACACTTTTAACTAAGAATTAGTGGAACAATGTACAATTTCACATCACGCAAAATTGTTTTTGTACTTCTGTAAGAAACACCAAACGGCAATAAATCAATGTGGGTAATGTTTTTAAACTGTTTCGTCTTTGGTTTCATTACCAGCCGCGTCTCGCTGCCATCCTTAAAGCGCCTTTCTGTGGTGAAATGGTTTATTGATCGCGTGGGAGGATCTTCAGAGTGAGGATATTGGAAACGTCAAAGTGCATAAAACCCTGTTTTATTTCACAGAATTGGCCCAGCTTAGCAAAAGTTAGGAAAAATATCCAATCTACTTACAGTACAGTACAAATCTCAAAAACACACAGAAAGCAACACGGCCCCCCACCCCAACCCCCATACCCACCCCCCCAAGCCACTTCAGCACACGTCGGTCACAAATTGGGTCCAGTGAGAAGACAGTGAGCTAAGAATCTCAAACACTTACAGTAGAATATTGTAGAATATTAGCAAAAAGGAGACTCCAAATCTGAGTCCGAATACAAAAATAAAGCACTTTCAGTGGTTCTAAAACAGTAATTCACGACAGAGCTTGGCAAGATCGGCTAAGACTAACGACCAGACGACACAGCAACGTCCAAGACAGAAATAGATACATATGGCTTGTTCATTTATGCAAGTACACAACATACAGGACGAGGCAGAGGCCTGCGCTAACATCATGAAGGGCGAAAGAAGATGCATCTTAAAGGGGACTCTGCTCATGTAAACACCAAGAGAACAGCACAGACACACCCTTCATAAAGGAAAAACAAGGCAGCAGATCTGCAGGACGTCCATGTAGCGCTAGCGGTGCAGAAGCATGTGGGCGTGTATTTGGTGTCTATGCGAAAGTACCTAAACGAAGAGGGCGCTTCTAATTTAGTACGGCTATATAAAGCGTGTCTCTGGGTAAGTAGGCTTAGTGATCACTGTGAACAGTTAGTGTCACACACAGTACAGCATCTTTACGTGATCTATGGCTGCAGTTCAAGGTAGTTTGTATACTTCTTGTACTCTAAAACAGGGGTTGCCCAAATGTTTTGGCTGGATTAACTGAAATATGATCCAAACGGTGTGGAAAGGGAACAGAATATAAAAGAAATCTCCTCCTGTTAGAGTACTACTCACACTGTATTTCGATGGTCCTCTATAGCTCGTCTGCAGCTGCTTAAGTTGTTAGCAAACTATGAAACTCTCAGTAACATCAGGATTAGGTTTTTGGCTTGAGGTTGTAGTTTTACGATGGCGGTTTAGGGTCACTGTTAATAAAAATAAAAACAGTAGACTTCGAGAATAAAGTCATAATATTTCGAGAAAAAAGTTGTAATATTTTGAGAAAAAAAGTTGTAATATTTGGAGGATAAAGTGGGCTAACTGTAGGGGGGCAGCCATAACGCGTTGGGGTCTCGGTTGCTGTACTGGCGCCTTGCTGTACTGGCGCACTCACTCCTGTCTCTTTGTGGATCATTTTGATCATCATTCTCACTGTCTGTGAAACTTCATGCCCTCTTTGAATGGGGGGAGATGTAGCCCCCGATAGCCGTGTAGACGACCCTGCCTGAGATTCTCCTTCAACAACGCAGACAGACAGTTTCCTCCGAGTCCGTCTGGCTCTTTATTCTAGATAAACACAGTTTCCTGCTCCGCCATTTCAGCCGGTTCTTATACTAATAACAGGCTGGTGCTGATGTGCAGGAGAGACAGGGAGACTGAGTGTTTCTTTATGGGTGAATCGATATGAAAGTAGAACTCCACCAACTCACCGCCCCTCATTTAACACCAGGAGGTGCTGCCTTCACTTCACAAAGTCTTTGTCCACAATATTTGACCTTTCCTGGTATTAATGCCACTTTAATGTCGGAATTCTACGACATTTTTTCTCGAAATATTACAACTTTATTCTCAAAGTCTACTGTTTTTATTTTTATTAACAGTGGCCCTGAAATGCCATCGTAGTAGTTAAAGTTAATGTTGGGGAAAAATCGAGTCGTTCAGAGTGGTTTGGTGCGAAACGCTCCGTTCTAGAGAAACTTTTCAGTTTTCAGAGTCAGAATTGTTCACAGTGGTGGTGATAGGAACCAGACGTCCGAAACTTCTAAAATCTCCCTTCCAGAAAGTTATTAAACACTTCAAACTTCGAAATGGTAACAAACACACTGTGTGACGCCTGAGACGTTGTTTTAGGATAGTTTTGAACTATGATTTTTAAAATGTAAACATTTATTTTTAAAATCCAGTCACGGTGGAGAGGTACGTGTAGGGTGTTGTGAGGCTAAACAGTCCCCAAATTAAAACTTTTCACATTTACCATTGTTCTACAATAATCAGCATTATATATATAAAACACATGTATGTTCACTTGTCATTTTGTACGGTAAATAAAATGGCTATATTTGTGTTGTTGTCATGGCGACCCCTGGTTCCTATCACCACCACTGTAAAGAAATCTGAACCATTTCACACCAAACCACTCAGAATGACTTTGTTTACATCTCAATTAGGGCTGGGCTATATGGCAAAAATGTAATATCATGGTACTTGAAAACATATTTATGATAGTATGAATCATAATATTAGGTTTCTGAGGTTTGATAAGTGGGAACTGAAAAACAAACAGCCCTGTACTGCCACAATTAAAAATACTAACCAACATCTCTGCTGGCCAGATAAACAGGACTGATCATGCTCTCTTCGTATTGAATCATGAGGTTGGTCTGTGTTCTTCAAGTGCTGAAGATATCCATGATATGCTCAGGAAAGTGGATTTTGACATAATTCATCATGATAACGATAAATCATCATATCGCCCACCACTAATCTTAACAACTGAATTACGCAGAATTTTGGATTTCCCCTTTTTTCACGAAAATTAAAGGTATATAGTCAAAAAGTCAGATATAAGCTGCGTCCCAGTTCACAGGCTGCATCCTTCGGAGGCTGCATTTGAAGGCCGAGTGCACCACAGCGGTGCGACTAGGCTGCTCCACTTCGAAGGCTCCTTCATATGCGGCCGAGAAATGTGTCCTTCTTTTCCATGGCAACGAAGAGATTCACTTAAGATTATAACTTATTACTAGACATTTTATACTTGTTTTAAGTCATTTTAAGTGAAATTATCTCACTATCGGAGAATTTTGCTTGTTTTAAAAAAGTGCTTGAAACAAGCAAAATTATCTGCTAGTATAATGAGATGATTTTACTCAATAAAATGACACAAAATAAGTAAATAATGTCTAGATAGTGTCTAATAAGTTACATTATCCTAATTTAAGCTTGCAATAATCTCAACAGGAGAAATATTAGATTTATTGACTATATTTAAGATAATTATACTTGACAAGACACCATTTTTGCAGTGTGAATGGTCCTTTGCACGGTGAAACACTCTTCAGATTGATGGACAATGTGTCGTATATGATTCTATACAGAACCTTTTTGGAAATGATTCAGTATAGCACCAAAAATGGTTCTTCTGTTGTTACAAGCTTGACATCATAACAATAGCAGAACTCTTTTGCTGCTATAGAGAACCATATAGAACGTATTCTCCATCAATCTGAAGGACAATTTTATCAGTGTTCAACATAGAACTCACAGTTCTAAAGAAACACTGCCTTTACTAAAGAACCCTCGAAGAACCATCTTAAGTGTGTAGATAATGGAGTTTCCCACAAAGGCTAGCTAAGCTAACGATGTGAGCTCTGGGCTCTGAGGGGGCTGAAAGGCATGAAGCTAGCTGCTAGCTAGGCGATTATTTTGTATCAAACTTTTCTGAAGTGTGCAGCCGATGTAGCTAAGTAGCTAACGTAATTAGCTTCAGATATTAGCTAGCTTCTGCAGTTGCCTACAGAAGCTAACCAACATCTGAAGCTAACAAAACGAGCTCTGGGCTTTGGGGGACTGAATGATAACATTAGCCACCTAGCTAGCTAGCTAACTTTGGTGTTAGCTAACAAATCAGCTGCAATGATGTCATTTTATTGTGTGAATCAATCTAAACTAAATTAGCATCAGCGTTCAGGTGCTCTGGGCAGGACACAAGCATGTTTTTGGGATTGAGGCTTTGCATTAAACACTGAAAGGAGGGCTGCACTTGTTTGTTGAGTTTCAGAGCAGCTACCGTCAGCTAACTTCCACTTTATGAGTGTTTTTAATTGATATTTAAAGAACTGAGAGTAAAAGATATGGAGAGCATCTACTTAGCAACTATAGTGGACCATCAAAATGAAGTGTTGCCATATTTCATCAACCATTTCTCCACAGATGCCCTCTGGTTGGGCAAAAGAAAGGACTTTTTGTGGTTAATGGTTTGGGCAGCCCTGCTGTAAGGAGAACCCTGTAGCCCTGAGGAGTAACTACAGTATAACTCTGACCAAAAAAAGGACGCGAGGCGGAGGGCAACTCCAGCCAGGGCTGGCCACAGAGAGAGCTAAGGCAGAGGCAGGGTGCAGGGTGTGGAGGCTCGGGGGCCTGTCCACCATCGCTGAGCGATGTTTTACACCAGCGCATAGTCAAACTGGCCCCTCTCCAGGCCCTCTTTGTGGTCGGTCCAGGAGGAGGCGGGCATGCGGCTGTAGGGATCCAGAAGGATCCGGAAGCAGCGCACCAGCAGGAACAGCAGGAAGAGCATCAGCAGGCCCACGAAGGCGAAGGCCGTCCGCTGCTCCGCGTCCCCTGCCAGCGGGGGGGCGCTGGGGGCCCCGGCCAGCAGGGGCCCCGGAGAGAGCAGCTCGTAGTCCAGCGTGGAGACATCGCTCATCCTCCACGGGCCGCGGCGGCAGAACTTGCAGACGGTCTGGACGGTCGGGTGCAAAGGGAGGTCAGCCAGATTGGAATCCGCGACCTCCACGGACTGAGAGGGGCCGAAACGAGCCTGAGACACATGGGAAAATAACGCAGACACCCTTAAGAAAAGAAAACACAACGCCCCTTTAGCTGATCTCAATTTTCTTCATGCTCCGCCCACAAATGCGTTCTTTTTTAGCTGCATTTGCTACAGTTGTGTGCAAAAGTTTAGGCACCCCTGGTCAAATTCCATGTTTAGTTGATTTTTTTATATGGAAAAAAGTTAAAACACCCTCTACAGAAAACACACTTAAATATTGCATTTATCTACAAATTTAAGAGCATAATTTTATTTGCTGAACTGAACATATTGTAAAAAATAAATAAATAAATAAAATTTCAAGAATAAATCAAATGTGCCATAACTTTTTTGCACAGGCTATAATTTATGTTTTATTTTAAATTCAACATGTAAACAGTAATTGTGCATTAAAACGTGCAGAGGTGTGTTCTCTGTAGAGGATGTGCTTAATTCGACTTAAAAGAAACAACAAAACATGGAATTTGACCAAACTTTTGCACACGACTGTAGGTTAAACATGCTTTACAAAATAGTAGCAAAAAATTATTCAACCTAATTGGAAACTGTATAAAAAAGTGTTTTTTTTTGGTCAAAAATACCTCCATTTAGAGTGCATTATTGATTTCAAATATTTCATTTGTATGCAAACATGTAGCTTATGCAATAAAGTAAAACTGTTCAATCACAGATGACTGAATAATCTCCCCAAAGATCATTTGAAATTAAGAATATCATTAGGTTGTTCGCTATTCTCATAAGAAATAGGATTTTTACCAGCATTCTGTAAAGCTCTTCACAGTAGGAGTATAGATAGACCAGCTGGGTCCAGTGAGCAAGGAATATCAAACTTCAGCAAAAATTAACAAAAGGAGACTCCAAGTCTGAGTCTGAATACAAAAATAAAGCGCTTTTAGTGGTTCTAAAACAGTAATTCATGACAGAGCTTGGCAAGATTGGCTAAGACTAACGACCAGACGACACAGCAACGTCCAAGAAATAGGTACATATGGCTTGTTCATTACACAGGTACAAAGCATTCAGGACGAGGCAGAAGCCTGTGGTAACATCATGACGGGTGAAAGAAACTCTGACACTAAGAACACTAAGAAAATAACACTGACAAACCCAACATTTACTAATTTGCTGTAGGTCTTTACAGCTACACTCTGTAAGTTTTGTGGATTTGGAGACCTCTCTGGTGAGAATGTGTAATTGCACTGTTGTCATCATATCTTCATCAGTATAATGTTGATTTTATATCTGAGACCTAAAGATCGAGCTGGACCTTCTTTTTGAGCCTGTGTGTGTGACGATAATACATAAAGACGTATAACGTGGTATAAAAAACAAAATTATTAAATAATTATTTCAGGCCTTAGAGGGCGATTCATAGCAGCGCATGCTCACCATATTTTAGCATGGTTTTATTCTTCTGACTCAGTGATGGTAATTCTTTCTTCACATAGTGCAGCTTTAAACAAGATAAGGATTTGTAGAGTTAGGTTTAGGCTTTGGGTTGAGATTAAGGTTAGGATCAGAAAGAGTGATTTGGGTTTAGATTTATGAGGTCAAGGTTAGAGTTAAGAGTGAGTGTTAGGTTTATGATTATGGTTGAGGTTAATGTGAGGGTTAGAGGGAGGCCTAGAGGTTAGGATTAGGTTAAGGTTAGGGTTGAAGTGAGTGTTAGGTTCAGGATTAGAGGAAATTTAAGCTGAATCTAATAGATGTTTGGTTGAATGTGAATTTAAGACGAAGTGAGCATCTATAGTGGACCATCAAACAATGCTTAGGTCCAAAGTGCATGAGATGACTGAATGATTAGTGTCATATGCAGTAGAGTTTAGAAATGCAATCTAATCTATTGTTAGGTTTGAGTGAGGATTATATATCTGAAAAAGGGGTACTTAAATATTTTATAATTTATAATTGTATAGTTTTTTTGTTTTTTCATTGAAAGATCAAACCCCATTTCCAGAAAGGTTGGGACATGTAAAATGCAATAAAAACAAGAACTGTCTTGGGAGTAAGGCATCAAGAAATGCAACCTGAAACTCTATTATGCAAGGAGAAAGCCATACATCAGTTCTAAGCAGAAACGCTGCCGAATTCTTTGGGCCCGAGTTCATCTCAGACAGTATAAATGTGTGCTGTGGTCAGATGTGTCCAGGTTTCAGCTTGTTTTTGGTAAAAACTGACGTCGAGTTCTCCATGTCAAAGATGAAAGGGACCATCCAGAAAGGTGCAAAAGCCAATATGGTACAATATGTCATGGTATGAGGGGTGATGTGTAACACGTGCATATGTGTGAAGGTAGCAATGTCGTGGATTGTATTGAGATTTTAGAGAGACATATGCTGCCACCAAGATGACATCTTTTCCCAGGACATCCCTGCATGTTACAATTAGTATCCCGATTAAAAAGTGTGAGTAAAAGGAAGTTAGTTAAATAAAGGTTGAAGAGAAATAACAAATCCCAGATTCTTGTTTTACAAAATATCCCAACTTTTTCTAGAAATGGTGTTTGTAATAATGGTATAAGAGGCCTGTTCCATTTTCTCGCACTCTGTCCTATAAGATCCTACTCATGCCACTGGACAAGACATGAGACACCAAAGGGACAAAAGAGAATGGAGGGAGTTTGGCCAGATTAGAAACCGCAACCCCAGTGGACAGGAAGTGGGCGGCTGAAGTGAGACTCAGAGACTCTTTCTCCCTGACAGAGTGATAGACACACACCTGCACGCACACTGACACAAGTGGAGCAGTCTGGACTTCGTGCTCGTCCTTGAGGAGGGAAAACGACAGCTCTGCTTATTTCAGCCCTGTCACATCCGATCCGGTCAGTGGCAGCCGTGGCACGAGGAAAGCCGACATGACACAACAAGCTGCCAGGATGGATAAAAACAGCGATCACCGCGGCCAGGGACTCGGCCCGCAACGCCTGGCTGGACACCGGCTAATTGGATCCAGATGGGACTCGGGTGTCCAGGTGTTGCTGGACGCTGCTCTTCTGGGTGACAGCAAAACTGCAACGAAAATACACACACTCTCAACAATGACGTGTTAACTAGAAAAAACAATGCACAATTTGTGTTGTCACTGACCTTCTTGTGTTAAAACATCACAGTGTGTGAACTAGGCAACAAATCAAACAACAGCACACTTTTAAAATGTATGATTATTTTAACACAATTTGCACCATTAACTTTTATATCAAATTAACAAAAAATAAATTAAACAAGTGAATTTATACATTGCGAGTTTATCTACTTTCTGAGCATTGTGCATTGCCTGTTACCAAAAATAATGCACTATTTAAAGGGCCCATATTCTACATTTTTCCTGTCTTATTTCCTGGCGCCCACTTGTGATATTTGTGTGCGTTTGTGTACCAAAAACAGTTATATATGTAAGCTCCCCAGACAAAAAATGTGTTGCCTTGCATGTTTAAGGAAGTAGTAACTTCAGGCTCCTGCAGATGGTGCTGCATAATGACGATCATGCTATAAGAACCTGCGAGGTGTGCAACAGGATTCATAGAGTGAGAAAAGGTGGCACAGTGCAGTGAATGTCTCATTCAATGTGTGGAAAATGGGTCACAAAGCAGATGTTAATGACTGGCAAAAAGGAGCGATTGCATTTGGGCGTGTCAAAGGCCACAGTGTGAAGGAAGTAGCTGAATTTGCAGGTGTATCGAAGCGTATGGTCATACGGGTCTAGCAGCAGTGGCAAAATGCCAGTCTACAGGAAATTCTCGTCAGAATTGTGGCAGAAAGACAAAACTGACAGACAGGGACCGCCGGCATGTTTCACGGCATGTGAATAGAAATTCACTTCCAGGCAAGAACTGCTTCTAGAAGTCAACGCAGATCTTTCACAACCAATTTCTGAAAGAACACTCCACAGGAAACTGCATACCATGAACATATGGAGTGCCCACTTTGCCGGTTGCAGTGGACGAAGAGACACCAAAACTGGTTCAACTGTTCATGACTGGAAACATGTTATCCGGTCAGAGGAATCTCATTTCTGCCTGTATGTGAATGATGCTGGGCATCATGTCCACTGTAGACCTCAGGAAGCCTTCAATGAGAACTGCATGTAGGTGTGGTTCAAGCTGGAGGAGCTCTGTGATGTTCTGGGGGTGTTTTAATTATGCAGAAATGGGTCCTTTGGTTGAGGTGACAGTAAATTTGAATCACAGTGCTGACATTGAGCTGCTGGACAACCAGGTTTTGCCTTTTGCTAATTATCTTACATTCCAATCCCCGTTTTCCAAGATGACAACTGTCACATTCACAGGACTGCCGATGTGACTGATTGGCATGCTGAACATTCAGGAACATTCACACATCTGGACTTGCCCGCAAAATCGGCAGATTTGAATCCTCTTGGAAATCGGTGGGACTATCCGAACAACACCAGGAAAGGCCTCCACGAAATCTGGCCAAACTGCGCAAATCTTTGATGCAAGAGTGGCTGAACACTGATGTCACCTACATCCAGAAACTTGTCCAGTCCATGCTAAATCGAATCGCAGCTGTTATTCACACTCGTGGAGGCATTACACGCTATTAGGTACGTTTCAGTCACAGGTGACTAATTTTTTGTCCGGTGAGCTTATAATTATGACCTCTGATCTGATTGGCTGCCCTGCATTGCACCTCATTAAAAACTATGAATGCATTTTTCTGACATCACAAAAGTAACAAATTCAAAACAGCCCATTTTTGCATGGACTGGGGAGTGAATGGACTGTTTCGAATGTTTACATACTACATCACTCCGTTACTTTAAAGCAAGCAAGGAAAATTCAGGTTTCCATGGTACAGGCTCTTTAAGACTTCCAGGCAAAGTATTATGAATTACTCATGATCTACTGAGAAACAAATGTATACGCTCTGCTCTTATGAGAGAGTGAAATTCTTCTACAGGAGAATAAAGGGTTCAAAGGGTTAACACATCTGTTTTGAGAGCGCAGACACCCATCCTATTTCCAGCCTGGCGCCGAGAGCGGCCGAACGTGTCCGGGCTTTAGCAGACAGGACGCAGGAGGGCTAATCAGATCAGCAGGACAGCGGATCAATGCGTGAAAGCCAGAGACAGCTGCTAAATAAGCCGTCTGGCCGGCTGGAGAGGAGACGGACTTTGATATGTGAGCCTCTGGCTGTGCAACACCACCGTATTAACACGGAGAAATAAAGATGACCTGACCGCCACACAATGTGTATATACACTCCGACTGGACCTACAGATCTTAGCGCATCTTAATATTGACCTTCGCAATGCTGATATCTCAGAATATGTGTGCTGTGAGCATCCTGACCAGATCTGTGGGTGATTCGATAAATTAAGGTATTAATGTAGTTTAACAAAACAATTATTTTGTTCAAAATGATGCAGGATGATCTTTAAGATTCATTTTATTGATTCACTAATGCTTTTTAACCCCTTAACAAGCCAAACTATTATTACACACTTCTATAACATAAGAATAGCTCCATTAGTTTGCATTGAAGTCCCTGTAGCTACTGAATAATAAGCCTTAGTATGTAAAGCCTGGACTGTTCAGGGGTCAATGTACTGCATAGTGCAATTGCAACATATAACAATATAATCGCAATATTAGCATTCTGTAATATTAGCCCTACTCGAAACAAATACAGTCTAGATTTCCAATAATATCTCAATTCAGAAATACAGTCAGTTACAGAGGGTAAATGGATGTCTGGGGGTCTTCACTCCATGTTTTTGTGATCCACAGCAGACACAGTGGTCTCAGGTGGTCTTCTGTTCCTCCTCACCCCACAAGTCCTGAAAACACACCAAAAAAACATACATCTGACATACAGTATCAGTCGAAAGTTTGAACACATCTGATTGTTTATAATAAATTTTGATCTAAAGGTTTATGCTTGTATGCTTGAAATTGAACATCTAATTATAGCCATTTTATTTACCATCCAAAACCAACAGTGAAACTACACGTGTCTCAGTTTTATATGGAATGTTGTTGATGGGAAAATAATAGGAAATCTAAAAGAAAAATTTTTGGGGGGGACAATTTCCACCATGAATGGATTTTTAAAAATACTTTTTTAGGCCAAAAAAATCTCTCAAAACTACTAAACAAAGTCATCAGACAGTGTGTTTATCAATTCATTCAGCAACATACACAGCAATAAACTGACTGTATTTCACTTTGGATAAAGTTGAAAAGAAGGTAAAATGCACAGTTTGTAAAATAATGAACTTCGCCAGTGATGAAACATCTGCTCACCTGCAGTGGGTGGCTGAGAAGAATCAGGTACAGTATATTCAGCCCCTGACAGCTGGCTAAGCTAATTTTAATTTTTAATTTCCTTGCTAAGGTCAGTAATAATTACCATATTACTCTGTATGTTTTGTCTTTCTCCATATCTTAGTTTTTGGAACCAAGATGAGTGGAGTTAAATTTCTGAAATGGAGAAGTCCAAACAGAAACTATTAGTTTTCTGGTTCCTGGTGGTCTTGAAGTGATGTCTAACAGCTTGTAATGGTATTCTGTGTTTTCCTGATAAGTTTATAACAACAATAAAGGATCCTAATGGTTCATCAGGTGACCTGAGGCTGATTCTAGATGGATTCGATCATATAAAAAAGTGTTGTTCTACAACACTTTTACATAATGCAACTCAAGTGCAATTTAGTTTCATGTAGGTTTCAAGCAACTAAAGTTGCATGAACATTCTAAGAAGTTCTGGAGATAAAAGAGAAGAAAATGAGGTCTCCTATTCTACTGGCAGACTGCTGAAAGATGTCTGAGGTGTAGAAAAGAGCTATAAAAGAAATAATAAGGTCTTGGACTTTTCTTACACAATTATTATTCAGATCCACAAGTCTTCAATATTTCTGACTGAAACTGTAAGTTGGAATTTAGAACTATTTTTGCAGAGGTTTTTAATCCTCTAGAGCTGTGAGCAATCCAGATGGTTTTGATGGTTTTCTAATGGGATCTAAAGGTGTTTCATAGGTAACTAGTGTTCTTTAACCATTAAGCCAATTCCCATTAGGAAGCAAAACCACTTGGTTTTAACACTAATGCCTCTACTGATCGTTTTTCAGCAAACATTCACTCTATCAAAGTAAAAACTTTCCTTGAAACATACATTCATTTATTGATAATACAAGGAAACTTGGTAATAACGACTTCCTGATCTTCCCATCAGGCGATGTTTGAATTTTGCAACCACAGAACATTATTTACAAATAAAACCCAGTTAATTCATCATGGAGAGATCAATTAGATCCTCAACTGGCAGCAAACAGAGTTTATTTAAACATGTAGCTAAGGATGATATTCAATAACGATAGAAGATGTCAAATTTCAGCGATTTCAGACACACTCGGCTGGTCTCGAGAACAATTCCTGAGTCCACCTTACCAAGAGAAAGACAAGACCGAGCCCAAATGATGTCGAGACCAAGACAAGACAGAGAGCTTACGCTTACGAACTTACGCTCTCAACACCCAGAACAGACTCGAGTACTACAACACTACATTAAGATGCAACTCAAGTGCAATTTGGTTTCAGGATTCAAGCAACTAAAGTTGCATAAAAGTTTCACCATGGCAACGCTGTAGTTCACACTTATGCTGGGAGTTTTAACTCGAGAAGGACTGAGGTCTCAAGTCACTAACTCGAGAGAGTAAGAGATCCCAAAGATTACCGGCTTTGCGGCATAAACTCAAAACTGAGCAGAGAACAGCGTGAGCACCCTTTAAATAGGGTGTCCGCAGCTGTAGCCGCTCAGCCCTTATTACCCCTTTGTGGTGCCTTGTCTCCCCCTAGTGGCTGGAGGTGGCCTAAGGCTGGGACATTACACCCTTTATTCTGTGTAAATTTTTCATCATATTTTATTAGATTTATTTTACGCATTTGCACTTCGTGTATGAACATGTGCTATACAGCTAAACTCTTCTTGCTTAAACTTTGGTCATATGTGAGACAGATATTCAGATGGATCACTGCAGTAGAAATGCTTAAGCAGGGCTCATCATCAATATATCAGCCAGATCAGAACCACGTACACCACTAATGGAATCGCCTCCGTCCCGTCCCCTCAGCAACAGTACCAGTAAGCGCCGTAAAGCCGTCCCCTTCACTTACAGCAATGCGTTACAGTGACGTCCCGACAGGCCCAGCAGTGCCTAAAGTATGACTCTGACATTCAGCGTGATTACTGGGCTTCACTCACTGATTACTGTCATATTACAGCACCATTAGCACTCAGGAACAAAAGCACGTAAACATTGATACTGTAAATGCCGTCTCCATCCATCAGGGCTGAGTTTCAGGATGACATTAGCGCAGCGCTCTGAGGAGACGCAATCTGGAATCAAACAGCTACTCATGAATAATAAGTATCACATCTTCTAGAGTAGAGATCGCAGATCGCAAAGCACAACATGACACTGGCCTATTATCACCAGCCCATGAACATCATTAACATAATTAAAGTCATATGAGAGAGAGAGAGAGAGAGAGAGAGAGAGAGAGCGCAAGAGCAAGTAAGCAAATAGAGAAACAGAGAGCAAGAAAAAAGAACAAAAATAGAAAGAAGAGAGAGCAAGAAGAGAAATAGAGCAAGAAAAGAGAAGTGGTGATGAAAAGAAAGAGACAGAGAGAGAAAGACAGAGAGAGACAGCAAGAAAAAAACTAGGAGTGAGAGAAGAAGAACAATGAATGAGAGGGAAGAGGGGAGGAAAGAAAAGAAAGAGCCAGAGAATGAAGGGACAGAGATCAACAGAGAGAAAAAGAGAGAAAGCAACAGAGAGAGCAATAAGAAACAGAAAGAGCAAGAAAAGACAAAGAGAGAGAGAGGGGAGATGAGAAGAGAGAGAGAGAGAGAGAGAGGGGAGATGAGAAGAGAGAGAGAGAGGGAGAGAGGGAGAAGAAGAATGAATGAGAAGGACAAGGGAGAGGAAAGAATAAAACGAAATGAAGGTAGAAAAAAGGGAGAGATAGATGAACAGATGGATAAAGAGAAAGGAACAGTCAATGAGAGAGAGAGAAAGAAGAAGAAGAAGAGGGAGGAAGAGAGAAGAGTGCAAGAAAAAGTAAAAGTGAAGTAGTGGGGAGAGACGGAGAAGGAGAAAGAGAGAAGGAAGAAACAGAGAAAGAGACAGCGAGGGAGACAGAGCTCAAGTAAAGAGACAGAGCAAGAAAAAATAGAGCAATAAGCCAGAAAGAGCAAGAAAAGACAGAGGGAGAGACAAAGAGAGAGAGAAAGCAAGGGAGAGCAAGAAGAGAGAGAGAGAGAAAGAGAGGAGAATGAATGAAAAGGAAAATGGAGAAAGAAGAGAAAGAAACAGAGGGAGAAAAAAGGAAGATAGACAGATGAACAGATGAAAAAATAGAAAGGAACAGTCAACGAGAGAGAGAGGAAGAGGGAGGCAGAGAGAAAGAAAAAAAATGGAAAAGTAAAGTAGTGGTGGAGACAGAGAGAGGGAAGAGATAAAGAAAGAGAGAGAGAGAGAGAGAGAGAGAGAGAGAGAGAGAGAGAGAGAGAGAGAAAGACAGAGAGAGAGAAAGAGAGAATAAAAAGTATGAGACAGATGAGGACCAGAAAATGAGACAGAGGGAGATAGAGAGAGCTCTCTTTTTCCTTCTATCTCCCTCCGTCTCATTTTCTGGTCCTCGTCTGTCAGAGAATGGGAGGGAAGAGAGGGAGTAAATAGAATGAGAGGGAAGAGTGGGAGTAAAATAGGGGAAAGAAGAGAAAAGAAAGAAAGAAAAAAAGGAAACTGGTTTTCATGACAACGGCCCTTTAAAAAGTTTGCAGCAATTACTGAATGAGCAAAAACAGTAGAGCAGTAAAGACAACAGTGACGAGACGCAGCGTTCCTTAAAAACAAGAACATCACTGACTAATTGGCTCACTGTTGACTACGGCACCAGCCAGAGCTGCTGAGTGTATCATTACCCTGTATCATCCAGGACTAATAGCAGGGAACACTGAGAGCAGAGAGACAGAGAGAGAGAGAGAGAGAGAGAGAGAGGTGGACAGATGAAGCTCTGGTAAAGTTACGGAACACTAAGTTCTGGTCCGTCTACTGGACGGACGTATGACAGCACGGAGGCGGCTGAGAGAGAAACAGGAGGACGAACAGCACAGCTGAGCACACACTGACAACTAACCGTGCACACACACACACACACACACACACACACACACACACGCCACACTTAATCAATGAAACCTAATCGATCGGCTGTTCTTGGAGACACAGCGTTTTCCAAGAACTGCTATTAGACAGACAAGATTAAATAAGTCCAGGTTGAAGGAACAGAGCTCACAGCTAACGCTAAATCCCAGATGAGGTTACACAGGAGAGCTCAACAGGGCTGCCTGACCCGCTCCTGCTGATCTACTCACCTGCAGAGCTCAGCTCCAACTCTGATCTAACACACCTGATCTGCCTGACCAGAGAGCTCAGGAACACATGGACACTAGAGGGAGGTGAACCATAAGGGTCCGAATGTGGGTCCAAACTTCAATTCTTCACTCGTATAACTACTGAACTCTTATAACTACCTTCAGAGTAGATACTGAATAATTCATAGTAGATACTTAATATTTCATAGCAGATAAAAAAGTAGTAGATACCAAATAATTCATAGCAGATACTGAATAATACGTAGTAGTTACTAAATATTTAACACTATACACTGAATAATATAGTAGACACTACATCATTTACAGTAGATATTGAATAATCCATAGTAGCTATTGAATAATCCATAGTGGATCCTGGATAATTCATAGAGAATA